CCCCCCTTGGGCTGCATGGATGGGCCCCTCCTGCTCCAGCTCCCGGCTTTTTCCAGCCCATCAGCTGCTCCTGCTGCAAAACACCCCGGCATGAGGAGGGGAAAATTACATCGCTAAAAATAGCAAAAAAGAAAGTAAATTTAAAAAAAATAAAAATAACATCAAATTTAAAAAATGAAATGAAATGAATTTTTTAAAATGGAATAAAATGAAATGGAATAAAATAAAATAAAATGTAAAAAATAAAATAAATGTTTAAAAAATTAAAATAAAAATAAAATTTTAAAATAAATAAAATAAAGTAAAATAAAAGAAAATAATTTTTTAAAATAAAAAAACCCCAAAAATTTAAAAAATAATGAAAAATAAAGTAAAATAAAAGAAAATAATTTTTTTAAAAATGGAAAAGATTTAAAAATAAAATAAAATAAAATAAAATAAAATAAAATAAAATAAATACAATAAAATAAAATAAAATAAAATAAAATAAAATAAAATAAAATAAAATAAAATAAAATAAAATAAAATAAAATAAAATAAAATAAAATAAAATAAAATTTTTAAAAAAGAAATTAAATAAAATAAAGTAAAATAAAATGGAGTAAAATAAATTAAAGTAAAATAATAAAATAAAATAAAATAAAATAAATAAAATAAAATAATATTTAAAATATAATATACCATAATATAACATAACATAATATATAACATAACATAAACCTGCGGGTTTTCCCGGCGTGGACATCCCAGGATTGCCCCTCCTGCCACCACTGGGCAGGATCCAGGGGCTAGTGGTGGGACCGGGGAGATCTGGGGGTGCCCGTGTGGGATCAGACACAAAATTATTACACAGAGGTTTGGTAAATTCAAAGGAGAAAAAGCCCCAGTTTCATTCCCACATCTGGTATTTATAGAATTCCATGGATTGGAGGATGGAATTATCACCTCTCCAACCACACTGGTCCAAAGATCAATCAATCATTTTTCTCTACTCACAGAAAAATGTGTAAACTATTCTATTTATGCACAAAATTGTGTGGGAACTCTGACTCTCAAATACGAAAACATTCTCAGAAGGCACAAGAAGTTTTATGAGAACTTGAAAACTTTCAAAAGAACTATAAAGGAGAAGGTAACACTTTTAAAAATCAGGGCTGCAGGATGATGGGATGGTTTGGGATGGGAGGGACCTTAAAGCCATCCCAGCCACCTTCCACTGTCCCTGTGTGGGAAACACTCACGTTAAACAACTTAAAATGGTTATGAAAACCGTATCAAAAACACAGCAGAAGGTTTAACAGAGAAAATATCACAGCAGAGGATTTCCCACCATGTGCTCACCCACACAATGGAGGGTTTTAACCCTTTAGCCCCCCAGAGTTCTGCCCATGGATCCTCCTTCTCTGCCCAGGGGTGGAGATCTTCCTCAAATCCTGACTGGGGCCATAGTGACAATCCCACCCTGCCAAATGTCCCAAACCCAGGCCAGCCCTGAGAACAACATAAAATATAAATCTATAAAACATAAATATAAACCGATATTTATAGAAACATATTATAAATCTATAAAACTTCTAACATATATTCAGGATATTTGCCTTTTAACTGTGAGAGCCAACCATGGCATTGCTCCTCTGTCACAGCTGATTTTCCCAATCCCTGCCCAGCCTGGCCTTGGACACCTCCAGGGATCAGGAATCTCTGATTAAAATGATCCTTAAAATGATAATGAGAGCAATTGGGATTTTGATGGGAGGGTGGCAGGGCTTGGGGGCTGGAGGAAGTGTGACTTTTGAAGGGAGGGGGTTCACATTTTGATGTAGAATTTAAACAGAAATGCAAGGGAAGACAGACAGGTCCTTCCCCGCCCTGTAACTGCGATGAAACATGAATTTATTTATCTGTGCCTGGAGGAAAACATTATTATTATATTATATTATATTTATTATATTATATAATATATAGTAGTATATATTATATAGATATTATATATTCTATATTTATTATCTATTAAATGATTATATTTATTATATGATTGTAAATATAATATATAATATAATATAATATAATATAATATAATATAATATAATATAATATAATATAATATAATATAATATAATATAATATAATATAATCGCTATATTGTATATATAATATAGTGTTTATTATATAATTATATTTATTATATTTATTTTTTATTGAGTTTTTCTTTAGATTGAGATTTTTTAGGGCCTGGCATGTCCAAAGCTGCTTCTGGGGTTTGGTGCTCAGCTCTGCTGGCCGGGCTGCTGTTTGTTGGCCCAAAGCAAAGTGGTTTGGGGGCTGAGAAGTTTGAATACCTTCAAATTCCAGCGGTGTCAATATCCCATTAAAGCCAGGAATAAATCCAGATTCCTGGCACAGCATCTGCAAACTCTCCTTGGTTGGTGGGAAGGCTGAGCAGAAGCTTTTTGTTGGATTTGGGGGAAAAAGGGGGGAAATCTGACAGCTCCATCTCTTGAGATCTTGTTTGTCCCTCTTTTTTTGGGAGTTGGGCTGGGAGAGATCCATGGCAGCTGTTTGGAATCAGCCAAACGGGGCTGATTTAGAGGTGAACATCACTCAAGGGTTGTTTTTTATTACTATTATTATTATTATTATTATTGTTGTTGTTGGTGGTGGTGGTGGTGGTGGTGGTGGTGTTGTTATTATTATTGTTGTTGTTGTTGCTGTTATTGTTATTATTATTGGTGGTGGTGGCGGTGTTGGTATTATTATTATTATTATTATTATTATTATTATTATTATTATTATTATTATTATTATTATTATTATTATTATTATTATTATTATTTTGCTGGGCTGTGATTACTTTGGGAGCTGGGATTTGCCTTCCTCGCGGTCTCCTCCTCCTTGCTCTTTGCTGGGGGAAGCTGGGACATGGAATCATGGAATGGTTTGGGTGGGAAAGGACCTTAAAGCTCATCCCATCCCCACCCCTCCCACCGTGCCAGGCTGCTCCAAGCCCTTCCAACCTGGTTTGGCCATTCCAGGGATCCAGGGGCAGCCACAGCCGCTCTGGGAATTCCATCCCAGGGAGCAATTCTTCCCCAAACCCCATCCAGCCCTGCTCGCTGCTCTCTCCTCCTTGTGGCTGCCCAAATTGCGTTTTTGGGGTGGGTCTGGGGGCAGCAGGGAATTGGAGCCCCCCTCTGCAGGCCAGCACCGAGGGACTTTGCTGCTTCGTGCTGGATTATTTTTATCATATTATTTTCTCCTCTTCGCTCCTCTTCAGAAATGAAGGGCTCGGCAGCAGCTGTTCCTGCGCTCTCGGGCTGGCTTTGTGCTGGTTTTTCGCAGTGAATGCTGTGCAGATTTGGCTTATCAGGCTCCTCAGGCTGCCGCACTCCTCCCCGGCCCTATTTACCCAGAGCCCCGGCTGACGCAGGGCCCTTTCCTGCGTTTGTCACCACCCACCCCAAGGTGCTCCAGCGATAACTTTTCACTCCAGATTAGGGATTTGGGGCTTTTCAAAAGAGTCTTTAACCCACAGCCCTCAGAAATGTGTCACTTCACTGAAAAAAAATAAAAATAAACCAACCAATTTAAACCTGGAAATTTACTGCTTAAGGTCGACACGAGAGCGATTTTTTCTGGTTTGTAATTACACCAGGAATTGTTCTAAAGGTTCAAAGGGGCCGTCTGGGGGACTGATCCCACTGGGAAGGAACGGGCTGGGAATAGGGGCTCAGATGGCACAAAATCCTGGGAACAGGCTGCTTTTAGCTGGATTTAATGATCTCCATTCCGCTGATTCCAGCGGAGTCTGGAGCTCTGCTGCTGCTGCTGCTGCTGCGGAGCATCTGCCCCCGAACCTCCAGCTGCTGGGGATGGCTCAGCTCAGCCACTTGTGCTCCAAAACAGGGTTTGCATCTGAATAACCCAGGAGTGACTCGAGCCCCTTTCAGGCTGCCGAGAGAGGTTTCAAAGCAGGCTTTTTAAAATCTAAATTACACCCCGGATTTACAAGGAGTCCTTGAACTTTGGGGTGTTTGTCAGCCCTTCCACGCGTCCTTAAAATGATAATGAGAGCAATTGGGATTTTGATGGGAGGGTGGCAGGGCTTAGGGGGCTGGAGGAAGTGTGACTTTTGAAGGGAGGGGGTTCACATTTTGATGTAGAATTTAAAAAGAAATGCAAGGGAAGACAGACAGGTCCTTCCCCGCCCTGTAACAGCGATGAAACATGAATTCATCCCCCTGGAATTTCTTGTTTGTGTGCTCCCATAATCTCATTTCTTTGGTGTCTGTATGAAGCTCGAGATAGTTGAATGCCAGGAGCCAAATTCTCTCGGACTAATATCTTTTTATTAGATTTGCTGCGTGCGTGTGTGCCCACGTGTGAGAGAGAGAGATCACCCTTCATCACCCACCTCGTGCCTCGCAGCGGGAGAGGAGCTCCCAGGGAATCTTTCCAGCAGCGTTTTCCAACTCTGACCCCCAGGGCAGGGACATTTGGGACATAAACGTGGCTTTTGGTGGGGTTTACAGGTGTCTTGTTGGATATTGAAGTTTGTCCCGGGATATTTCACATTGCCACGGCTCTGCCTGGTCGCTGAGGGCTGTGACAGCTTCTGGAGGTGGGGGACACAGAGTTTTCCCCTAAAATGCCATGGGGAGGGAGGAGCTGGGAGCTGACCCAGGGATGTTTTAAAAGCGACCTGGCCTGGCCATGAGCTGCCAGGTTTTAAGGATTGATCAAGCCCTAGTTTGGCTTCGATGAGCCCCAACCTTTTCCCCGTGCAGAGGGGACGATGCCGGAGATTGCCCCGGGGGTGGATTCGGACACAGCCACCCTGCCCCAGCCAGAGCTCCGGGATTCCCAAGCAGCGCCGGGGGTCGGGAGAAGGGAAGAGCGAAGAGCGAAAGCTCACTGCCACCTCTAGGCAAAGCCCAGCATCGGCGCCGGCTCCAAACTGGAGCACGGGCGGACAATCCTGGGATTTGTCCCAAATGGCCGCAGTGGCAGCGCCAGACCCGTTATCAGCCGTGTGTGTGTGTGTGCGCTGTGTGCGCCCTTCCTAAAGCTTTAGCAGAAATATGTTCAGCCCTTCCTGCAGCCCACGGGCTCTAATCCCCCGCCCGCCTTTCCAGCGGCGTGGAAAGAGCAGCCCGGTAACTCCCGAGCCGCGGGATCGTGCGGGAGATCCGCGCGTTCCGGAGGAGCTCCGGGAGCGCCGAGCATCCTGAGCGGCACATTCCCGGCGGATCCCGGCTGCGGGATGCGGCTCCAGCTCCTCGGCACGCTGCCCAGAGAGAGGTGGGTGAGGGAGAAGGGCAGCAGCACAGGGGAAAGGAAATTCGGGCATTAAGTGCCGGGTTTGTGGTCGGTTTCTATCCCTAACCTCTGGCAGCATATAGCCGGGAGCGAGCGGCGCTGAGCTGCGGCCAGAGGAGAGGGGGAACCGCGCTGTGAGGGGCGGGGAGGCGGCTCTTCCTCTCCCGGCCAGTTTTGGGGGACAACTTCCCAGGCAGCACCGCCTGCATCGGCTCCCAGCTGTGGGAAAGGGGAAAGCAACTTCCATGGACGAGGCTGGGCGGGCAGGGCCGGGAATGGGGGGCTCCCCCAGGGCTGGGGCTGCCCAGGGGGGCGAGGCAGATGACAGGGACGCGTTCCCTGGAGAGGAATGCTGTCCCCAGACGCTTTTTGCTGGAGGGAGGAAGGCGCAGCCTTTGCTGTCACACCAGGGGCTGTGCGGGGAAGGGGTCAGCGGTGCGGCTGTGCTGGGGAGGGTCTCGCTCCACCTTCTCCATTCACCGCCCAACCTCTGCCTCCTCAGTTGTTTATGAGCCTCCAAGCCTTCCCTTCCCTTCCCGGCTGACTCACGGCTCCCAGCTGGAGGGAAAGGCTACCTGGGGCTCCTCCCTGGCGCAGGGGGAGCACAGGACATGTGCAGGCCGCCGGCTCCCTGCCCACAGGGACACTTTGCTCCCGGCCCACGCGGATCTCGGGGCAGCAGCAAAGCTCCGGGTGACCCCAAAACGAGCGTGGTCCCACCCAGATTCCCGTGGGGAGGGAAGTGCTGCCGTGCCCACGGGAGGATGCGGCCCAGGGATGAGCAGAACTCTGTTCCCGGGATCCTGGACCGGTTCTTGGGCTGGGATCCCGCCGTGGGTGGAGGGTGGCAGGGCTGGACTTCCAAAGCCACGTCCCGGAGCGGCACAGGGAGCTCTGCCCCCTGGATCAGGGCTGGGCTTCCTCTGGTGGCTCTGCCTCGCTGGCAGGAGGAGCAGGAGGGGCTGGTGGCCGTGTGTCGGGGTGGCTTTGGCAGTGCAGAGTCCCCTCAAACAGGTGACATCAGAGCCACCGGCCCTGCGTGAGCCTGCGTCTGCCCACACCCCTAGCCAAGGAAAACTGCTCCGGCCCACAGAGCTCTAAGGCTCCAAGCTGTGAGCCCTGCAAGGAGAAGGCTTTGGACTTTTCCCGGCCCGGGCTGAGCTGCCCATCGCCAGCCCGTGCCTGGGTCACGAAGTCCTTTGTCACCGGTGTGTGCCCACTGCCCCCCGCGCGGGGCAGCGCGCCCTGGCCGGCGGATCGGAGCAGATGTCCTCGCTCTTAGCTGAGTCCTCCTGGCTCGAAGCAGGCAGAATCACCTTTTCCTTAGCCCCAGACAGCGTTACAGCCTGATCTTTGCCAGGAGGGGCGGAACGGGGGAGGCAGCCCCGATTCCGCTGCTGCATTTGCCCGTCCTCTCCGCCTCCCCGGCTCTGCACAGCTGCCGGTGCGGCGGGCAGGAGCGGGGCTGCTCCGCTCCCCTTGGCTGCGGGAAGTTCTGTCATTGAGCCTCCCTGCCTTGTCTGCCTGCCTCCGGTGAGGCACCAGGGCTGCCGGGCACCTTCGCCAGGCTCGGGACACCTCTCCCTGCTCCGCTGGGAGCTGCCTCCTGGGCTTGGAGCAGGCTGGGAGCAGGTGAAGCTCCCAGAGAGCCCGCTGGGTTTATATAATATTATATATCTCTAATTGTGTGTTTGTTGTTGCCATGGGAATGAGCACGATCGCAAAGGCTGGAGACTGATGTCAAGCCTGGGTCTGCTCTGGGCCGCGCTGGGGGCAGATGAAGAGTCAGGAGGGGAAATGGGGTGAGGAGAGCCTTTGTTCCCTGCCCCGGGGGCAGCTCCGGCAGCTGAGGCGCGGGGCTGTCCCAGCAGCGCCGGGATCCCGGCTGGGAGCGCCGGGAGCTCCCGGAGAGCGGCGGTGTCTGCCCCGGGCACCGAGCGGGCACGGGCGGCTTCCGCTGGCAGCGGGGGAGAGGGATTTTCTGCAGCATAACCCGCCTGGGAACGGGAATGTGGGGGCTGCAGCAGGGCTGGGCAGGCGCTTGGGGACCACTCAGCCCCTCCGGTGCCCCCCGGGGCAGGCAGAGCCCCCCACTCGCCCGGGGCAGGCTGAGTCAGGCCCGCGGGGGTGAAGCGGAGCTTCCAGGCAACAAGTGGGGGCCGGGGGGTGTCTGTGAGCGCTTTAATTGGTGGGGGAGTTGGGGGGGGGTGCGATGCTCCCCGGCAAGGGGAGGGAGGGGGGAGAAAAGCCACGCTGGAAATGAGGTTATATAAAAGATGTATGATTTGGAGAGCGGAGTGTCTCCTAATGAGGGCTGCACCGGCTCGCTCCACACCCATAAAAAGCCTGGTTGGACGTCAAAGCGGATTCGTTTCGGTGATGCTGGGATAAAGGGGCGCAGCCAGGACTGGCTCCCCCCTGCCAGCCCAGCCGAGCCCAGCGCCGCGCCGGGCTCCGTCCCCGCCGAGCCGCCGGGAGGGATGCGGGGCCGGCCGCGGGGCCGGGGCCGGGCACGGCTCCTCTCCGCCGCACGGTAGGTGCCCCCCAGCCCCGCACCGGGCGCCGCTTCTCCGGGAAACTTTGCCGGGGCTGCGGGACCGTGCGCCCCGTCAGAAGCGCCGCCGCCTCCGGGCACCGGGGCCGCACCGTGCCCGTGGGAAGGGGAAGGGGAGGCGGCGGCGGGACCCCTGCCCGGCCCGTGCGGGCAGCCGGGCTCTGCGGAGCGGGACAGGCGTGGGACGTGCCCGGGGAAAGCCGCTTTGCTGCCGCGGGTGGCCCCGCCGAGACGCGGCTCCCACCGACCCCAGGACACGCTGTGGGGTGTCCCCCCGTCCCTCCGCACCCCGCAAAGTTCCTGCAGCGGGTGTGGCCGGCCCGGGGAGGGCAGGCAGGGCGGGCGGACCGCGGGCAGCGAGCCCGGGACGGGCGGCGAACGGAGCCGGGCGGACGGGGACCGGGCGCGACCGGGGCGGGGAGGGCAGGGAGCGGACCGGCCGAAGTGGGGTCAGCGGGGGCGTTTTTGGGGAGACAGGGGGCAGTTCCGCAGAATGTCAGCCTGCCGAGGAAGGGCAGTTTTCCCTGGGCGTGCCGTTTCCCGGGAGAAGGCGGTTTCGGGAGGCGGGGGGCATTGTCCCGGGTGGAGCGGCGCTGTCCCGGGTGGATGAGCTGAGCTGATCCCGCCTCGCCAGAGCTGTCCCGGGTGCTGAACTCGGCGGAGCGCCGGGGCTCCCGAGCCTCCGCACCCCGACGGGGAGGGCATGGGATTGCGGGAGATGCCACCGAGCCCCGTGCTGGGGTGGGGAGTGGCCCACGCCAGGTCCTGCCCTCGCTGTTTGCCCTGTCCCCAGGGTGTCCTCACTGTCCCCGGAGCTCTGGGGTGGATCCCCCATCCAGCCCGGGGTGGGGAGGACACTCCCCAGTGCGGCTCCAGCCCTCGGGATGTCCCGTTGGGGGCTGGCTCCTGTCCTTTGGGGAGAACGGGGGTTCAGCCCGGATCGTTCCCCTTCCCTCTGCCCACCGAGGACCTGTCAGGTCGCTGGGGATGAGCCGGGAATGCAGGCGGGAGCTGCCGCCGCAGGGACCGGAGGGGATGAACCCTGCTTGCCCTGCTGCTGCCTCGGCTGGGCTCGCAGCCGAGAGCTTTTGGTTCTTAGCGGCAAAGCAGAGGGGGAAAGAGCTCTTTGTGCGGGCACATCTGGAACATCTGGCGCCGTCCAGCCGCGGCTCCCTGCCCCGCTCGCTGAGCACCCGCACCAGGTGCGGACATTTTCTCCCGAGTTCTGACTGTCGGGAGGGAATTCTGGCAGGAGACTTGACAGCGATCTGCCGAGTCCTCGAGGAGCGGATCCGCCTCTCGCTGAGATGGAGGGGAAGTGTCTCCTTCCTTCTTTCTTTCCTTCTTTCCTTCCTTCTTGCCTTCCTTCATTCCCCGGGGAGCAGGGGCTGTCTGGCACGGGGGACAGGGCAGATCGCAGGGGCAGCTGCAGCAGCAGGGCTTTGGCTGCTTCAAACACCAGCTCCTCTTCCTCACCCACATTCCCAAGTGCCAGCGGCTCTGGCAGACGGGAATCTACAGGGAGGATCACAGAGAAGCTGCAGGGAGGCTTTGGGAGCAGGGGGGGATCACTCTGCCAGGAATTTCTACCTGCACCTTTTGATAGTTCTCATTTTCTGCTCAAGGTCTCAGTGGGGAAGCCTTATTTAAAGAATTTAGGTTTGCATCAGCAATTTCCTCCTCCCTCTCTTTTCTCCCAGCTTGTATTTCCCAGAATATTTCCTTAAGGACGCCACAAACTCAGGCACAGACGCTGCAGTTTCAAATGTTTGCAAACAAACTCCGGGTGCGGAGTCTCTTCCTCCGCAGCCGTGGGGTTGGAGGGGGCATTTCCCTGCTCAGGTACCCGCTCTGGGAGAAGCATCACACCCCCTCTGGAGCCGGAAAAGGGACAATTCCTCGTGCCCTTTTGGATTCTGTTTATTCCCCCTGCCAGCGCCACAACTGTGAGTGAGAGGCCATCTTAGGCGGAGGGGTTTGGGCTGAATCCTCCTTGGAATTCTCGCTTGGAATTAACGCTGTGTGGCTGTTCACGGGGAGGGTTTGGTCCTCCCTCGCCCTCAGGGTCCGTTTTGGCCCTGTCAGATTTTTTTTCCCCCTTCCCTGCTTTGCTTGTGTATTTTGTCTTTTCCGTTTCAGTGGTGTGTCTGTACAAAGGCTTAGGAAATCTGCCAGATTCCCTAAATCAGTGCCTGAAAACAACTATTTTTAGTAGCTGATAAGTCACATGAGCTCAGCTCGCATAGATTAGCATTTACCTTTCCCGAGGAACGAGGATATTGTTTGATACTTGTTGATACCATCAATTTTCCCCTAAAGAAACCCAACCCCGATAACGAGGGGCCGGGCTGGAGAGGCGGCTCCAAGCGGAGCTCTGATGCCTTTGTTCTACTCCCACTGCTCCGATCCTATCTGTGCGTTAAATCAA